CGCACTGTTTATCCCGTTAAGTCTTTTTCCGGTCACGACTGTGACATTGATTTCTCTCTCTTTCTCTTGTCTATTTTTCTGTCTCACTTAAGAGCTGCAATAATTGTATCGTTATGGGTATGCGTGCCAAAAAATCACGAGTCTACGTTTGATTAATTTTCCTCGTCGGCTACATCGTCATCATCATTATAATCATCATCCGGCAGCGGAAAAGATAAACGCGCCGAATCCGAACCATACAGTACGTCTAATCTCGCGCGTGTTCTCGTTCGTGCGCAGGGTTATCGCAATTGTTTCGCGACCCGAAATTTTCTCTCCGTCCGTCTCGAATATAATAACAAACTAATATCTACGCAGTGTTTGAACGAAGAAAAAGTTACACGATGCAGTGCATAAGTCTAGCTCACCCAATTTCAAGAGAAAGCCCCAAGCAGCCAGGGCGTACCGAACGAGCAGCAAGTACCATCTCGGTCGTCGTCGTCGACGTAGTCTCGGTCGTCTCGCATGGCCGGCAAAAATTGGCCGGCGCTCCTTTTTTTCTCGATCGTCGTCGTCGCTCGCCGGCGTCCCTGCACTGGCGATCATAATAACGCGAAGCGACGACGGTTGCACGCACGCCTCGATTGGCCGCAGCGCACAGCAACAATAACAACGATAACAACAACAATGATAATCATCTATAACGAGCCCACAACGACGCAGCAGCAAAGCAAGCGCCAAAACACCGAAAACTTTTGACTTCCGCTATAAGAACAATGGCCTCGTGCAGCAGCTCTCGCGGAGTGCTTAGCAGTAGTGCTAGTAGTAGTAGTAGTAGTAGTGAAGTGTACAAAGTCTCTTTCTCTCTGCTCGTTGCACATGTACGCGCGCGAAGCCACGACTAACAATGAGTTTTGACGCTACGACGCTCGCTCGTACGCAGCAAATGTGTAAGTATGAACGCGTATACGAGCGCTTAACCCGTAGGCATATACTACAACGAATCGAGACTCGTACGTATAATAATGATGACGATATATGTATGAACGAGCCGCCGAGAAATGACTGCTCTGCTGGGGGGAGAGAATCATCCGTATTAATTTCATGCGCCTTCTTTTTCTGCTGCCGATTCTGTTGTATTACAGCAAGTATTGTTGTGCCCTCCCACTATACACTATAAATACAGGGCGTCTCTCTGTGTGTAAATTCTGTATATACACTACACTATAATACGACGACAATGTGCTTGCGGTTACGAGATACGCAATTAAAAGCTCATCAAGTTTTGGGCGCAAACGATCCTCGACTCTTCAGCTCGAGGGGGCTTCTCTCTCTCTCCTCGTCGCGTCTTGTGATTCTTCCCTATATAATATACGGACTTTTTGGTTTCCTATAATATCGACACGTTGCCCTGGCCAACGCACAAAACACTCGATAGGATATTATAAGCCCTGCGCCAAGCTATGTATACTCCCTCTCTCTCTCTCTTTACTTTGCAACAAAGAGCGTTTTAACTTATCAAGCATATACCGTACTATATACATAAGCGCCGCCAGGCTGAGATTCTCCGCTTTGATTCAGCTTATGCGTCTTCCTGTGCCTGTGTGTGCACGCGCGCAACATGCAAAGCTTACCTTAGCCCCTACCTATGTATATATGCGCGTGTATGTGTGCAGCAGTTTTCGTGCTTGAGGAATAGTCTGATAATATTAGGTATATGGTGGTGGTGGTGGTGGTGGAGAAAGAGAGCCAACTTCGGCGAGCTCGATTATATACCCTATAAGAATCCGGCGGAGAGTTTCTTCGCGGCCGAAACATAAGCTTTTATTAGACGAAATTCGACGAATAAATCAAGACACGAGCGAGCGTAGTGCTGCTATTGTATCGTGTGCTTCTCTTTCTCTGCATCGACGAGGAAAAATAAAGGAATACATGAATTTTGATACGGGCCGCGCAATGACAACGCGCCTATTGTGCGTCGTTATAAACACTTTTTGCAATTTTTTTATTTTTTTATTTTTTGGTCGGTGTACATTTACACGCGGAAAGAGCACCAAAATTTTCTGCGCTAACGTAGTGTGAAATTGCCCTCTCTCGCTGCGGTAAATATTTTTCTCTAAATTTCGTTATATACGCGCATACGTATAAAAAGAGCAAGCGCGCAAAACACAAAAGCTCTCGCGCATGAATTTCGCAGCGGCATCGATATAATGCTCATTTTTTATTCGTTCGCGAGAGCTGTATATGATTTCCGCGAGGCCGACGAAAGCGCCGATATTTCAGATTTCCGCACAGACTGTGAATCTTTATATTTTGCAAATGAATTTTTTTCGAAATTTTTCCTCCGCACGTCAAAAAAGCTCCGCAGCAGCAGCGGCAGTGGTGCAGCACGCCGCAGGTCGTCAAACGAAGAAAAATCGAATTAAATCGCAAATTAACGAGCTCGGTTTGGATTTTCCGAGCATCGGGCTTGCCAAAATCAGGCAGGCCACTGCTACACGCCACTACCATCACCACTGAAGCTCTCCGGTTGCTGTTTTCTTTCATTTTTGCGGTGTGCGTGTATACTATACGCTCCAGCAGAAAGAGGAAAAAAACGAGAAAAAAAGGCTGTAGCTGCAGAGCTGCGAAGAAAAATCCAGACTACTTTTATTTTTTCCCTTTCTCTCTCTCTCTTCTCGCGTAGTCGTCGTCGTCGTGCTTGCGTGGAAAAAGCCGAGGCAAACTAATTTGCCACCCGCGCAAACACTCGCACGCACGCGAAAATTCTCTCTCTTTCTCGTTATTCTTCGCTCGATGCTCGGTGGTATATCAAAGGGGTTTTCTCTCTCTCTCACACTCTCACTCTGCCTTAACTCATTAGCCAATGAGTTAAAAAATTTGTGCGAGTAAGAGAGCTACTCTAGTGAACTTTTTTTTCCCTCGCTCATCTCGCGCGAGTCGAGTGCGCTTCTTACAAAATATGGTAGGGTGAGAAAATAGCCATACATAAATTTCGAAATTGTTATTTCCCTCGTCACGCGACGAGAAAAAAAAACCGCGCGGAGAGAATAATACAATCGACGGTTCACGATTCCATTTCGTCACGAATCGAATATTATTCTCGAACAAGTCGTAGTCGTCGTCGTCACCGGCTCGTGATTCTAGATGAAGTATTATATACGGCAAAAAGAAAAAAAAAGGCCAGACTCTATCGCACGAAAAAAAAGTAGAGAGAGAGAGAGAGAGAGAAAGTTTCAATCTTTATAGATCTCGTAGTGCAGAAGAGTGCACATAAAGAGTAACGAGCATATTGCATTATTATCATGATCATGATTATTATTATATAGAAAACATCTATAGTCTCGTGAGGTCTCGTCTCTACGGTGCTCTGGCGCGCTTTTACGAGTGATGTTGCTACACAAACCTCTCTTGGAAGGCCTCTACATCGTACATACCTATACCTATACATGAGAGACATGTAGATCGGCCGCAGCAGCAACAGCAACAGCAGCAGTGCGAGGGAGAGAGAGAGAGAAAAAGAGAAAGACCTTCCGAGGAATGTTGGACTGCAGTTAGCCAAAGCTATATACTCGCTTATTACTCGGCGTATAGTACGTGTGGAGCAGCAGCAGCAGCAGCAGCAGCAGCAACAGTAGCTATGTAGCAGAAACCTGAGATTTTTCGGCCACTTGCATAGACAGAGAAAGAGAGAGAGAGATTCTCTCTGCTGCTGCTGTTGCTGCTGCACATACACCGTTAAAAGGTGGGCAATTTTATTCGCGTTGGGAAATTCGAACGCGTATTATACTCTATAGAGCTCTTATGCTCTGTCCGATGCGCGAGCCACTCGCTCGATTCCACATGCATTTTTCCCCATGATTGTTTATTCGAGTGAAACGTATCGATCCGATCGACGGTCTGAAAAACTTTCGCCGACGTATGGCATTTTTGGCATGCGGCGAGTGGCTCGAGCTTTTGATACTCTAATTGTTTCATAAACGTGAAAAACTCGCGCTACCTCGACGTTGACCAGCGACGTATTTATAATACAGATGCATAAAAGCCAGTCGCATACGTACCTTTTGAAAGAAAGATATATATAAAGAGTAACTCAGCTGATATGTAAAAAAGTGCAAATGCACACGAGTTGAAACAAAAAAAAAAGAAAAGTAAGCGAGGCACGCGTGCAGAGTGTGTGTATTCGCGGAGCGCGACGCACTCTAAAAATTCGTGCGGCAAAAGCGTAAGCTTATGATATTGTAGGTCAGGTCATCGTTTGCTTAATACATAATACATGTGTGCACTGGCACTGTACTCTGGCGCGCGTCGTGCAGAATTTCAGCAGCAGCTTATGCCAGATAGTCGCAGCTTTAAGCCAAGGGCCTCCAAAATAAAAAATAAATAAAAGTAGAGGAGTCGAGTATCTTGCGAGCGCGACCTGACCTGCTGCTGCTGCACACACTTTTCCTGCGCGACTGTCATTTCAAAGCGTGTAACTTTTTTCATCCCCCTCGACGCTCGACCCATCTTTCTTCTGTTTTTTTTTTCTTTTATCATCATCGAGTGGCGAGAGGTGTGCACGCGTGGAAAGTGCACTGCAGGCACTTGTTTCAACGGCTGATAAACGCCAAGAGGATGATTTTTCTTTATTTTATTTCTGAACACATATTATACAGGTCTATACTAGTTGAGACATGTCCTAACGGCAACAACCCCCGATTTCGACTTGACGTCGGCTTATACATTTACGACCATACACATACAAACACACACACACACACACACAGCCCCAAGCACGAAAGGGGGTGCTGACTAATCGGGGACGACGACTTCGAGCTCCTCTCTCGCTCCCGACTCATGCTCGACAACCGCTCGTTATATCCATCCAAGTAAAGACGGGAAAAAAACGTAAAGGACGATGCACGATCGAGTTTCGAAGTCGCTATGAGCAAAATCAAAAAGTACATAGCGCGAGATCGATTCTGTATAATGTGTAGGGTCGAGCTCGGCTCTATTATAAACTTGGCATTATCACCAACCTGTTCTTCCCTCGGCGTCACGTTCTCGAAACGAGTCGGGCGATCATCCATCGGGTTCGTTGTCACGAGAAATCAACAACAACATCGTATCGAAAGAATGAGAGAGAACAACAACACTGTATGACAATTCCCAACAACTGCACACTGAGAGACACACTAAACGACGCACTCCGATTTTATACTTGTAATAATATTTCGAATTCTCTTTTTTATTTAAAACAATACAATACACAACGTGTACGAGTTCGTACACGAGATAGGCAAACACACTTTTTGGTGCTGCTACTGCTACTGCTGAGCGCGTGGTGGACTGCACACACAAAAGTTAGTTACTATACTTATATATGCCATATATGGCGGTGTATATAGGGTCGCGCGGTCCCTGCTCGACTGACGCTCCTTTGCTGCATGTATAAGGGGGTCGGCCGTGCGTTCAATTTTGCAGACTGCTGTGCGCTGTGTGCGCCAGGCTCGTAATATGGCGGCACTGGTGCACTGCACTGGTGTCTGCGGGGAACTTACTCGCGGATTGGAACGAGCGCGCGGCTATTGTCCCCCGTCCATCCCTGGAAGGAGAGCAACCGAGCGCGACTGCGCCGTACGTACGTTGGCCCTTTATCGAGGCGCGTCAGCGACCCTCTTGTCCAACCGTCTTTCGAACGTTCGAAATTCGAATTTTGTCAATTGAAACGGTGGCAGTGACATTGTTGTGTTTCGAATTGTTTACTATAAGCACGAGAGATTTTTGCTTTGAATGAATTGAAGAAAATTAAACGGATACTTTAGGTAACGAAACGTAGATTTATTTTAAAAACTTGTATTAAATATTTACACACAGCTATACATTTTTTACAATAGTATCAACATTGATATTTATTTTAGTACTAATCTAGGAAATTTTACAATATCTTCTATCCACTTTGCCACCCTCAGCAATCTTTCTTCGCATAACATAGGTGCCATTAGCTGCAAACTGAGTGGCATGCCGCTTCTAGACAATTTTATAGGTACACTAATAGCTGGCAATCCAGCCATGTTTGCTGGTTGAGTGCAAAAGTCCTGTACAGAACATTGAGCTTGATTATCTGCACAGATAAAGTCTTTGTACTTTGGAGCTTGTGTTAATGTTGTCGGCGTCAATAGAAGATCTACGCCGGAGTCCCATACTTTATCAAAATCTTGCGCTATGAGAGAGCGAACTTTCATTGCTTTTACAAAATAATTTTCATAATTTTCACTAAGTAAAAAATAGTTTCCAGCTAAAATGCGACTGCGAACGACGTCGTTAAAACCCTCGCTTCTTGATTGGGCGTATAAGGCATCTAGTGACGAGCTTTCATCTGCTCTTAGTCCGTACTCAAGACCATCGTATCTTGACATATTACTTGCTACTTCACATTTGTTGAGCACCGAGTAACACACAATTGAGTATTCTGTATGTGGTAAAGAAACAGGAAGTACTTTGGCACCTGCTTCTTCCAATAGTCGACTCACTTCCAGCCAATTACTTTCTACTTCTTCTGAGAGTTCAGGACACTTATACTCCTTGGGCAAACCAATCTTCAGACCACTGATATCCAGACTTGTTGATAGCTCAATTGGTTTAAATGGAACTTTTATCGTTGTAGAGTCCATATTGTCAGGACCAGCTATAGTATTAAGTACAGCTAGACAGTCATCAACCGTACGTGTGAGAATACCTGGTACATCCATAGAATTGACTAAAGGAATAAGGCCATGTCTAGAAACTAATCCATAGGTAGGTTTCAAACCAACTACGCCACAATAAGATGCAGGATTTCTAGTTGAACCTCCTGAATCTGAACCTAATGCAGCGAAACACATTCCTGATGAAACTGCTATAGCAGAGCCTCCACTGCTACCACCTGTAAATAAACAATCAATTTTTATTTCTAAATTTATTCAAGCAAATCAAAAAATGAAAAAAATTACCTGCAATAAACCATTCTTCTAACGGGGGTCTATTTTCAATTTCATTTTTGTGCGAGTTATCTTCAAGAATATAATTTCTAGCAAGTTCAGATCCCCACAGATTTTTCGAAGGTCCATAGTAAGAGTCAACAGTGCCTGAGCCCATGGCAAACTGATCCAAGTTAGTTTTACCCACAAGAATCGAACCAGCTTCTCTTAATTTCCTATAGACAGTTGCATCGTAGCCAGGAACAAAATCAGCCAACATCAAGGATGCACACGTCGTTGGTTGGCCCGCGGTGCAGAAATTGTCCTTGACAGCTATGGGAATGCCATCGAGACTGCCAAGTAGCTTCTTACTATCCTGTCTGCTGTCGGACTCTTGGGACTGAGTCTTGGCCAGTTGATGAGTGACATTGATGAAAGCGTTCAGAGGCCTCAATTGTGTGGTCAATTTCAACGCCGCCTTGGTCAGGTCCGACGGTTTCACTTCGCAAGATGCTATTTTTCGTCCGACAGTCCTTATGGACTCAGTCAGTAAGTTGTTCATATTTTGTAAACACAAGTAAGCTGGCAGCGCGCGTCTGTGCACCGGTCCGCAGCTCGATTCAAAAACAATAAACACAAGCTCGCTCGAATAACGTTACATCAATAAGAACTTCAGCATATGAAATTTCTCAATTAAAAAAATAAAGAAGCCTGGAAAATCGTTATCATAGATTCCGATCGCGAAGCTGGCGACCGCCTCCAGAACGATGAAACCAACGACTATCAAGATTTGGTTACGAGACCAGGCCATGCTTGCAGAAGGCAGATGATGCTCGGAGCAGAAGAGCAGTTTTTTGCCGGTAGGAGTCTCTCGTGGTCTCTCTCTAATAAAAAAAGCAACGTGCGAAAAGTCTCGAGTCTTGCTAGTACGATAGGTACAAAACACAGCAGCAGCGGGCAATTGATCGTTCTGAATTGTTCGGACAGACTAAAAGTGCCTATTTCGTACATAATCATCGTCGCACCGGCGAGCTCCGAAGAGAGAGCCCCTTCTCGCACTTGTATTGTTTACAAGCGCGCTTCGAAGGGCCAAACAGCTGGCTTTGTATGTATACACACATACAGCGATGGCTCGAGCATTGTGTATGTATCGTAGTGTACTGTGCGTGTGCAAGCACATGCGTGCGATCGATTTGTGTCTCTCTTTCCTTCTCTCTCTGATGCTTTTTTACCCGGCTTGCGCTCGGACTGACGCATACATGAATCTCACCGTCGTTTTCTCCCCCTCTCGCATGGGGGATTGTTACTTTGCTACATACACATAGGTAGAGCTGCCACTAGCCGCTGCAATCGCATTAGGTGCACAATGTTGCGGACGAACGAGCCGCATCAACCAGCCAAGCTGCCGCCAGCCACCACCACCACCACCACCGCTGGCCGCTGCTGCTGCTACATACCTTATATACCTACCTCCGTACACATAAGTCTGTATATATAATATAATGTGCAAGTGCCGCAGCAGCAGCAGCAGCAGCAGCAGCAGCGCATGAGAGGGAGAGAAAGAGAGCGTCGGACTCGGAGCTGCTGCTGAGACCGCCGAGGCGCAGCGACCTGTCAATACTCCGGGGCCGAGAGTACGTACATACACATACGTGCATTACTCGCTCTCTCGCTCTCTGTTCGTGCGAGTCTCTGCTGCATGCGCTACTCCGCTCGTTCGCATTGTATAGGCATCGGTGCTGCTGGTGCAGACACTGCTTCGGTAGCTAGCTGCATTATAATACGCGAGCAGTATAGCGACAAAGAAAGACCGCGCGCGAGGACAAATGGAATCCTTGAGCGATTCAAGAGCGCCGTAGAAGAAAAAAAGAGCCATCGACCGTCGTCGTCGTCGTACTGTTTAGAGCTGTGTGCGGCTCGACGGCAGCAGGACGCGCAGGACAAGTGCCCGAGGAAGAGCCTGTAAAAGGGAATGCACTCGAAGTAAAATGGTGTCTTCGTGCGAAGGAGCTACGGCCCGACTCGAGCTCGTCTCTTCGCAGGGCAGCTCGAGCGCGGCCCAGCATCATCATGGTCATCGGCTTCAAAACATCAGCGTCAGCAGCAGCAGCAGCGGTATAAGGTCATTGTCCCGCTCGAGGCAGCTGCAGCATCCGCAGGTACAGTTCGTCGAGCAGTTCGTCAGCGACGTCGTGGACTTCAGCTCGCAGTACGGCAACAACAGCAACATCTCGTACACGGCTTACAACATCGCCGGCAATCCGAGCAAGTTCCCGGATTACGGCGACTTTCCGCAGGCTTTCGTCATGGTGAGATTTGAATAAAAATGCAAAAATCAATAAATGTACAAGGAGCCTTGATTCGAGGATTATATGTGTGTGTGATTTTTGGTTGTTGCCATAGCGTACGTACGGCAAGTGGTGGGATCGAGCACCTTCCAAATGTCTGGACTACATGCCACAGAACAATGGTCCGGTAGTTAGTCATGATTACATAGGTAAGTACTTTCACAAAGAGAGAGAGAGAGAGACTTTATACAGCGCGCATACTTGCACGTCGTTGCATTCAAGAGAGCTTAATAATCGCCCGAGTTAAGGCGCGCGACGTGAATCATACTGGCGAAAAGAAAAAAAAACACAAAACAAATATTTATCTTGCTAATTCATCTGATCTTTTGTTTGTTTCTGTTTTTTTTATTTACATATTAGTGCCAAATTCTCGAACGTTTATTTATCTTATCTTCGACGATCGATTTTGTTTTTATTTGCGTTTATTGTTTTCATTGTTTTGTCTTTCATTGATGAATAATGCCTATTTTTTTCGTTCGTAGATTTATCCTTCTCTAAAGATGTTTATCCGGTGAGAATATCCATCTACGAGACTTACAATCCCGGAAGTGTCGTAGCTATTTGGGCTAGAGACGAGGATGGGAGATGGACGAAATTATGGAACGGACCACCACAGGTTGTGCCTCACAAGCCCAGAATATTTTCTCCGCCTCTGCAGCAGATCAATTTCAAGACGAAAATATTGAGATTGGAGTTCAATCATAGTCTACTGGATTATTATACAGAATTGGATGCTGTTCAGCTCATAGGTACGACAGAATTGATTGTGCCTAATTTAGGGCCGCGGCCCAAGAGCTTAACTGGATTATTAAGAGAATTAGGGGATACTAGACCAAATGATGGAGATTCATACAATTTGACTCCCAATTATTTCAAGTGTCACCATGACTTACATTTACTGAAAAGTTCATTGCATAAGTATTGGGATCCTTGTAAAAGGTGCGTTTAATTATTGCTAATAATAATATTTCGATGTGAATGAAACTTCTTGATCGAAATTATCAAGCGTTTCACGTAGATCACAAAAAAATAGCTTCGATAATATTTTACGAATTTTTTTTTCAGTAAAAATATTGAAAGAGTTCCTAAAGGAAGATTGGTAACAAAACTAGGTTTACACTGCCATCACATTCCACCGTACTTGGAGGCTTACAATTCGTTACATAAATTACTCGAAGATTTTCCGAAAATTATTGAAGACATGAATAATTCATGTTCAAAAAGTCAAATTTTATCAGAGACTGATTTAAATGTCAACGACAATATATCCAGTAGTTTTGCCGCTTTACCGGTGAGTATTATTTAAAGAAAAACGAATTTATAATGCTTTAAAATCTAATGATTGCTTTCCATTTTTGCAGGATGAAACTATACTTAAAATTTTCAAATATTTAGATATAAGGTCGCTCTGTCGTGTGAGTCAAGTCAATCGTCATTTCAATAATATCTCTCGCGATTGTCTATTGTACAGAAGTCTGAACCTGAAACCCTACTGGCACTGCATCGATGCGTCAGTTTTAAACAATTTTATATCCAAATGTCAGTATTTACAAAGATTGGATTTGTCTTGGTGTGGAAATTATGACATGATCAGCTCCGATAATTTCATCGCATTTCTCCAGAGCAGCGGAAATTCGCTTACTCATTTAAGACTGAACTGCTGCAAATTCGTAAATGATGCAGTGATTGAAAAAATTTCGTCAATTTGTAAAAATCTTAAAGGTAAATTCAATTTAAGATATTTTCAATATACAATAGTTTTTTTTTTTTAATAAAGCAATAACAAATTTTCAGAACTCAAGTTACGAAACTGTACAACCATAAGCAATAACGGTTTCATGCTATTAGAAAATTTAGAAAATCTAGAGATACTAGACTTGTATAGAACGATGATAGAAACTGATAAATTGTGCGCAATTCTCAGAAAAAATACTCGATTGAAGCATTTGAATTTAGCCGGTATGCACGATTGTTTGAACATGGATGAAGTAGCCACCGAAATAGCCGCTTCTTGTTTAAATTTGGAAAGCATTGATTGTTGGAAAGCTCAAACTTTGACGGTCAATGGTTTGAGAGCTTTAACGAATTGCTCTAATTTGAGAGAAGTTGATTTTGGATGGTGGTTAGTATATACATATTTGATAATTCACCTTTGCGATGGATTGGATAATATATGAACTAAAATATAATTTCTATCTTGCAGCACTGGGATTGGACCTTTAGGTGACTCATTGAGAGTATTTCTAGGCTCATGTAAAAAATTAGAAAAAGTTTTTTTAACGTCATTCCGTGGGCTGACGGATCGTGATCTCGAGCCACTACTGTTTTGCCGAAATTTGCAACAACTCGATCTTGTTGGGGCAAGATTCTTAAGTCCAGAGTTTTGTATAAAACTACTTTGTTATCTACAGTTACAAATGATAGACTTGAGTTTTTGTGATGGTATAAGCGATTCGAAAATTAATGAATGGCGGAAATTGTATCCGCATGTTTCAATAAAAAGAAATTTTACATCTAATAGATGATGATTTGTAAAAAAAGTGTGATGTATTTTTAAGACATGGTGTGTCAATTGAAAATTTCAACCGCGTTGAAGTAAATTATGTGATTAAAAATGTGAAATTTCACAAAAATTCATTGCTCTTGTTCCTTTCTAATAGATGTAATTGTGGTTGTAAAAAATAATTTTTTCTCTTCATGAAAAGAACAATGAGTGATTAAAGACTGCAGCTAGTATAAGATGCAACTATTTTTTGTTTTTTTAAGTTTTAGTAACCCAGTGATTACAAACCTATAAATCAATCTACTGTATTCATTATTTATGTATGAAGTCAGAGTAAACCAGGAAAAATAAAGAATTTGTTGAGAAAAGTTCCATTTTTAATAAATAACATTGTCAAAACTTTATTAAAACCTACTTAACCTACTTATTCCATTGTTTGCGATGCTTTGATCTAGCTGAGTGACTAAAATCATACACATTTTCACTCATTATCTGAGGTCTTACCACATCGTCATTATCATAGGCAAGCTCTTCTGTACCTGTTTTACTTAGAAAGAGATCTTTTTGAATTTTTCTTTCTAAAACTTTTACTCTACTCTCCAACAATTTTCTTCGTGGAACATGTTTCATAGCTTCTTCCATTCCATAACACTGTGCATCCAACATGATTGATGTACACTGATTAAGGGTTAGATCTTTGCCAGAACCATCACCAAAACGAATGTACTTATCTATTGGGAACTTAACCATTTTGATTTTATCTTTTTTGGCTTTTGCCATAGATATAGGCTTTTTAGGTCCCTGTAAAAAAAAATAAATTATGAGTTAATTATTTTATCATTGCAAAGTTGATTAATCATAAAAAGTAATTCATAGTAATTTTACCCTATCAACATAGGCGCCAACAATATAAATTGATTCAGGATCATATTTTTCCATCATGGTAGGTGCATCTGATGACAGATATACCACTTGAGATTTGTCAAATAGATCTAAATATGACTTCTCCTCAACTCTAATAGGAAAATCATCATCAAGAATATGTGGCATGAACCTCATCACTCTTTCAAACAATGGACCATTCATATTTACATTGCAAAAAGTCATCTCGAAAGGATAGTTATGAATTCTATTTACAGCAAACGATTCCATAATTTGTTTGGCACAGCTTTTAAGTTCAAAGTTTGTCATTAGTTTTTCATAACTAAAGTCATAGACAAGTTTGTTGCCAAACATTGAAGCTCGATGCACATTCCAATTATACATATGATTCATCGTTGCATCACTGATACGTCTTAACAAAAAGTTGGCTCCAAAACCATATACTATTTCATTGGACACTTCCCTTTTTGCTCTTTCTTCTCTAACTAATTCTAATTCAGCCATATTCTGTAGCTTTTCCATTTGTCTTTTTTCTTTTTGCTTTTCTATAATGAATAGGTAGTTGAAAAACTTTCTGCAAAACAAATTTTGACAATTAGCGCATACGTAAAATTTTTGTAACTGATGAAAGTAAAGAATAAAAGTTACTTACCTTCTTTTATTACGACTAGGGAGTTTCAATACTTCTTCCCAATCTCTGGGCCTGAGTGCAGAGGGAACGCACTCGCCATCCTGCTTCATGACTTCCCATTCGAGTTCGATGACCTTTTTCAACTTGGCGATCTCCGGCTTCGTAGCAAGCATCTTGTCGACTTCTTTTTGAGCTTTCGAATCGATCCAGTGCTTTTTTTGTAAACCCTCGGGCAGCTCATCCTCGTCCTCGTGCTCAAACTCCTCGTCGAAATGGGTGGCGAAATGCCGGCGAGCCTCGCTAGCCTGCAACTTCTGAAGTGTCACGGCGGAAAAGCCATTGTTTACGACCGAGCTGGTCGTCTGCTGGTTCGTAAATTTCACGAAGATACTTCTCAAGGCTCGAGGATACATGTTGTTGTTGCAGACGAACAGCGTTCGCGCGAATCAACCACGACGACCTGGACGTCCTACGAGCAACTTTTATACTAGCACATGTGCGCAGACGAATTTCTCGACTTTTTTATCGGAGCCTCGAGGTTGGTGCGTCGGCCAGCCAATCGCGGCGCGTTCGATTCCGCTGTAACTGGTGCACACGCGCACGATCTTTGTTTTCTTTGAGCCTCTCTCCGTCTCTCTCTCCCTTTCTAACATTCGAAGTGTTATAGAACGTGAAATGTAAGTATATGGGCATAACCGTAGATTTACATACAGTTAAAATGTTGTACATTTTTAACAATAAATATCGTGTTGCAATTCGTTAATTTGATCAGTATCAAAATTTTCCTACAATTTGAATTCAGAATTGCAATGATCTTCACGTTGTTGCAGTGATACAGCGAGAAAGTCGCAACTTTTTCTGCATAGTACAGCAATATCCCATGTAGAGCACAAGGCTCTATATAAAACAGCTCTATACATGTATAGTCGCGTGCAGATGTGCGCGCTACCTATGCAGGTTTCGACAAGCACAGCGCAACACCACCACAGAGCAGCTTATATGCGCAACTGTGCAGTATTTTAATGTATCATAACGCGGAATAGACAGCAGCAGTCTACAGTGCGCCCACCATTATGTGTGTACACAACGTTCGCTGAATCTGAAAGCAGTTCGATACACGCACGACAGTCCGGACACACAGCATAAATTATACATTATTTACATCAACATGAGGTCCACGAGGCGAAAAGCCATAAAGCTAGTTGTTGACAGTTGCGGGATGAAGGAGTCAGCGAAGCTTCAAGTCAACATGATCTTGCGCGAATTTACCAAAATGAAGAACGTTAGTGTGATTTATTTTAATACTTTTTTCCATTTTATCGATTGATTACCTTCGTGCATTTTGTTGCACGCGACGCGATTGAAGAGTGACTATTGTCGTTAAATTGATTGACGCGATCGGTGATGGCATTCGTTGATCTTAAACCGTTGTAAAATGTCGCGCGTTCGATTAATTGCGTCGAACACTTCTAGCTCGACAATTCTATCGTGACTCTTGTACGCTCGTTACATTGCAATTCTAAGTACCGTTATATAATGCACATTCTCTTGTTTATCCGTACTCGTGGTTTGGTTGAGCTGTCATGGGCTTAGGATAACTGCAAAATTACATACTGCAGATTTCTGGCTTTTTGTTGTGTCTGGTACCACTTGATGATCAGAGCTCCTTTTCCATTCACGTTATAATATGTCTTCATCTGTGCTGTAGAATATTTCAGAATTATAATTTTCAAATTCAATTTTAGGAATATTTAGAGCTACAGACCACCAACGAGAGTCTAGAAAAAGCTGTCCAAGAGTTGAGAAGGCGTTTGGTCAAGACTGATCATCAGCGGCAAGAGCTGATACGAATGCTCAAACGCAAAAGTACAGAAAACATTGAGAAAGTTGAGTCGTTGCAGAGAGAAAATAATAATCTAAGGAGTACGATAGAAGAACAATCTAATCTTCTAGAGGATCATTCGAAAAAAAGTAATGTGTTCAATAATATTATTCAATTATTATAACTTATATAATTTACTTGTGAATATTATAAAAGTATTATACAATTTTATTTCTAATTATATGAAGTGTCATTGTATTTAAATTAAAGTTTTACTTTTACTATTTTCAGTTGAAGAATTGAGGGGTGAAGTGAAACTCCTAAGAGATACAAGGACTAATAATAATACTATTCCAAATGAAAGTTTCAGAGAAATATTTCATCAAATAACCACGAACAGCCCGAAAAAATCATCTCTGGTTTGTAACTTTTTTGTGACTATCTTGATGATGGCATGAAATATATGTCCTTCATTAATTTAATTAATCATGGATATTACAGCCAACAGTACCTGTATCAGCTATGACTGCTCCTCCTAGCTCGCTACATTTTGATCATCCTTCTTTTGACCTAACGGAACCAAAAAAAATTCAAAAAAGTAAGAAGAAAAGGATGTCGCAGCCAAAGTATGTATACATATTTAATATTTGAAGTACTTTTATTTTAATATTTATTTTCATAATGTACAAATTTTTTATTTCATTAATCTTGAATGATAAGTAATATTGTATTTATGTACATGTTTGTTGCAGATATTCGAATTTGGACATTACATATAAAAACGACTCTCTTAATCATAACAGTAGAGCCACATCGAGCACAAGTTCCTCCACTGACAGTTGTAAAAAAAGAAAACTTTACTGTCCAGATGATGATGAATCATGGGTAGAATTAGAAGTTGATGGAAATTAGTGATTTTCTTAAATCTTGACAGATTTTTTAATTGTTCTTGAAAAAAATTCAAAACGATACAATACTTTTATCTTCTATTATTATGATATAAGATAATTGTCTATGTAAAAAATTACGGATAGAGTGATTCAAGGCTGGTGACCTTATCACAAATTCACAAATTTAGATTTGATCGAAAAGTTTATTTACAAATCGCAGAACTCATTAGATAAATGAATTGAATAATTTACACAGCAGTTAGATGTAGATATAGAATCTTCGTTGCAAAAACCTCTTCTTTTATTTGTATTACAAATAATTTCATTTGCTGGCGATCTTTCTGTGAAGTGAATTCCAACTGCTTGTGTAATCGATGTGAAGGTGTCCGTACGTGCTAAGACCTATGTTATGAGTGGGTGGACTGTAGAGCGATGGTCTCGTATCGTAATCATCCTCCGGATAAGCGTCAAGCAAACCGTATTGACGTTGGGGATGATGTATTGCGCACTCCTCCCTGATGTAAAAAAAAATTACAAGTACAAATGAAATTTCAACTTACAGTTTAGATTAATCATATTATGTAAAGTCTCAATATCTATTTTTTATACTGTAGAGATAACATAGAGTGTGTTAATAGCTTAATTATAAAAGAAGAAAAGAGAGTAGGATAAAATTATAATAATTTTCGGCCCCGGTTGGCAGCGTTGACCAAAAAGATCTTTTCATCGTTATAGATATTATCGTATTATTATATTGTTGCGCAACGAACTGCGAAATTCAGCGTTTAGAATGACGCTTGTGAAAAAACCAAATCAACTGTACATACAATTAACTTAGGCAGCATTATTGATTTTGTTTCAGTGAATAGTAATTAGACTATCCCGAAGCTTCGTGCACATTAAATGCTGCTACGAACTATTTTTATTTTTGCTCGAAAACGAATTAGTAAAAAATTTCCATTTGATTTCCCAGAGCGTTGGTGAAGGAAATTTATCATTTTAAGCTATTGAAGATTGATCGATTAACGTATATATACTTTTCATTTGTACTAACGTTCAGAAAGTATTATGTATTCTAGTTGTCTTAAGAATATTTTAAATCACAATAATTATTTTTTTAAGAAAAAAACGAAGCTAAGTTACCGAATATGATTATGCTATTAATTCTGTGAATTAATAAAAATCGACACGCTATTAAAAGAAAAAAGTACACAAGTTTTGATTATTGTCAATATCCTCTCACCTTCCGGGATAGTTCCTCGATCTCGTTACGGTGCCCTTTCCTCGGTGCCTCGAAGTCATCGTCATTTCTCTCCGCCTGATTTCCTCGAGAGCCTCGGCTTGCTCGATATCTGCAACATTGCGATCGTATTGTAATACTGGTTACAAAATAACGTCAACTGATATACATTAAATATTAATATGATGCTATGTGCCACGCATATTGCACAAATTTTGCCATTCGAGCGAGACCTTAAGGCAGTTCTATCGCTCTCTGCACGAGAAGACGAAGAAAAAAGGCCGATCACTCCTTCGTGTATGAATAGCTTTGTATGTTTATTTCAATTTGATAAAAATCAAAAGTCGCGCGCGCGAGGCCACTGAAGATGTTCAGCTACAGAGGGAACTTTGGAAGGGTACAAAAGTGATTCAATAAAAAACTCTTATTTTGATTCAATTTTAGTGTCGAATTGCCCGAGCCCAGTTTGACATTAGTTTCTTACCACATTCGATTTGGTAATTTAAACGATTATATACGCTTATACTGGTTGATAAATTTAGCCATTCCGGCATTGATGAAATATATAATAGTGATGAATCAAACAATAAAACGCAGGAGTAAATTTTAACGGTAAATGTTTATTTTCAGTTCAAATTAAAAAGGCGTTTTAGAGTAAATGTTATTAATTAACGAATATAAGTAAAATGGATAAAAGAAAGTCTATGTTTCATTTCTTTTTTTCCCAAGAAGCATATCTCTCATTTCATTCAAGGGCAATGTTCCGATTAATTGGCGTTTGACAAAATCAACTGCTTTTTTCATCAAACGGTCTGAATCATAAGTATCAGAGATTCTAAGAATATCTATAGTATTTTCAATTGATAACTTGGAACCCAATATACATTCGCATTTTATTTTCAATTTTTGAAGCTGATACTTGTCAGCGGCCGCCAAAAGTTCTGCAGTCGTGGAAAATTCTTGAGTCTTGAAACTACCTGTGTAAATGTATCGTACCATCTCAACTACAGTATCGTAACTAATCTCGACTATATCAACTAATTGGCGTTTGTTTTCCAACATATCGTGACTAAACATGGCTTCAAATACTGGACTTGCAGTAGCCAATATGACCCTATGAGCTGGGATTTCCTTTCCGCATTTTGTTCGTAGCAAAATATCGCTGAGTTTTTTATCGAGAAACATCCTTTCGAAATTAAATTTTCCTCCCAACTCTTTATTCATATCGACCATCGCATTCTTAAAAAATATTAATTTGCATAGAATTTTCGTAGGAGAAATGTTAAAAATTGGATTTAGACAGATATTAAGAATTGCTTCTTCACTATCAGGCACAAAAGTACGAAATATATCATCTTTTCGGCTAAACAAAATTGTTGTACCCTTTATTACTGATATTTCGCACTTCCATGGATCCGTTGATGAGTCTTGTTCTATACAGCGTAGAACTAAACGCCAAACATTTTTACACGAACAATGCGAACTAACTTGGCAATTGATTGGATTAGGATTTCTGCTGCAGTAGTGTAGTTCCAATTGAAATTTTTTTCATCGTCACGAAGGAAATTGAATGTGTCTGATACAACCACTTCCTGTTTTTCAAACGATGAATAAACCTGTGGTATTTCCCATGTGAAAATATTGCCCTCTTCATTAATTTGCAAATCGCCGATTTTGACGGATGACATGTTAAATTCTGCAAGAAATTCTAGAAAGGTTCAATTTTCACTGAAGTAGCTGGAGATTTTTATCACACTTGCACTAACTGTTGAGCAGTAGATATTACACGACCACGACAACCAGCTGACTGACTCACAACTGACTGTTGCACAAGTCAAGACTCTTCTTCTTCTTCTTCTTCTTCTTCTTCTTCTTCTTCTTCTTCTTCTTCTTCTTCTTCTTCTTCTTCTTCTTCTTCTTCTTCTTCTTCTTCTTTATGGCACTATCTAGTGGTGTTACCCAAATTTAAAATATACGGCCATAAGTTAAGTCTCAAATAGCCACCTATGATGCGTTCTAAAACTGATCAAAAAGACCCATTGAGATTTGAGGACTTTGTTTTATCTGCGTGTGATTCCCTATCGAGCTCGAGTATTGTCGTGTAAACGCCGCTTAGCGGACAATTCGAAAACTACATAGTCGCTTGAAAAAATCACTCGTTTCTAGAATTTGATGTTAAAAAATCAAATTTTTCAGTCTTAATTCCAAGTTAACTGAGATGTGAAATACTTTCTTCTAGAATTATTGCAAAGAATATTAAATTTGTCTTTAAATTTCTACCGCAGGCGCTGGTGGTATCAAAAGACCTCATCCGTGAGCTGATCGCCCACATGATTTTTGGTCAGTATGTCTATAAACATTAATTTATTAGTGAAGTGTATTGAATGATAATTTTTTGGGTACAACTTCGAGTTTAATTCATTTTATATAGAAAAAAAATTTGAAGTAACTATTTTTGTAATTCGGTCATGTCACGGTCACATGAACTGTTTCTCGTGGCATTAAATTTTTCCTTTGTATCATCCCATATAATTCAAAAGTTTATTCTTTGCATAATTTTTGTGGAATATAGTAATTAGGCCATTCTTAAATCAATGCCCAAATATATTATAATAAATTGAATGATAAAATCGATGGATAAATTTCGATGGTAAATCTTCATTTTCAATATCAAAATGACAAGGCATTTTAGATTAATTGTTATCAACTAGCAAATATAAGTAAAATAGAAAAATGAAAATCGATGTTTTCTTTCGGTTTTTCTCCAAGAAGCTTATCACTCATTTCATTCAAGGTCAATGTTAATTGATGTGTGGTAGCCATGAGCTGACCGCTCTTAATTATTGGCATGTGATAAGGATAGCGAAGTAGATGAGAAATATTCAAAGCCCTTCAGTACTTCAATGTGAGATAGTCCTGAAAAAGTGTTGATGCTTAGGTGACCGGTGTAAGCATGACTTTTGATACGTCATTGATAGTACAGTGTAAAGTAACTGCATTTTTTCTGAAAGATAGAATAAATGTTGTAGTAGAAAATTGATGCCTTCAGGTCAGTGTCTAAATGAAAACTCATTTTTAAGCTAACCTAGTGAATTAAATGGTTCTGTTCTAGAGGTAACAAAAATTTCGAGTTTAGTTCATTTCGAGTAAAAGAAAAAAGGTTTTTACATGTCACGACAACTACTTTTGTCATTTGGCTCGTGAATAATACTTTATTGTTCACATAATTGTAGCGGAATTTAGAAATAGGGTTGTTAAATCAATAATCAAATATAATGAATTGAATAATAGAACTACAAATCTTTATTTTCGGTAAAAAAAGTAAAGTTTCCAAGGTAATCTTATCGATAATTGAATAAAAAAGTTAAATTGAAAGTGTATTTATTCTTTTGTTTTCTTTCCTAAAAGCATATTACTGATTTCATTGCAGGTCAATGCTACGAACGATTGGTTTCTGATAAAATCAATTGTTTGTATCTTCAGACGTTCTGCACCATACGTATCAGCCATTCTCAGAGTGTCCATAGCATTCTCGGTTGATAACTTGGAGCCTAATATGCGCTCGCATTTTATTTTCAAATCTCGAATCTGATACTTGTCAGCGGCCGCCAAAAGTTCTGCAGTCGTGGAAAATTCTTGAGTCTCGAAACTACCCGTGTAAATGTATCGTAGCATCTCAACTGCAGTATCATAACTAATGTCGACGTCTATATCGACCAATTGGCATTTATTTTCTATCATATCATGATTAAACATGACGTCAAACATTGGACTTGCAACAGCCAATACGACTTTATGAGCCGGAATTTCTTTTCCACATGCTGTTTTTAGCAAAATATCGCTGTATTTTTTGTCTAGAAACATCCTCTCGAAATTTAATTTCGGCCTCACATCTTGATCCAGATCGTATAACTCGCTCTCTAAATAATTTAATTTGCACTGAATTTTTATATCATCCTCGGATCGAACGAATTGTTTGACATGGGTTTCGCACATGTTGAGAATAGGTGCTTCGCTTTCTAACATAAGAGCGTGACGGCCGTCGAAAATTTCGCCATTCTTGAATATTATTATATTGTACCCCCGCCGATCGATTGATGAGTCTTGATCGATACAGCGTAGATATAAACGCCAAACCTTTTCACATTCGCATTCCGGAGTAGATTGACAGTCGGGTGGAATGGGATGATTTATGCAGTGGCGCACTTCCAATTGAAATACTTTTTTATCGTCATTATGGAAATTGAATGTGTCCGACACAACCACTTCATGTTTTTCTAACAATGGTAAATCCTGCGTTATTTCCCACGTGAAAATATTGCCCTCTTCATTAATTTGCAAATCGCCGATTTTGACGAACGACATATTGTGACACGTGTGGGATTTCTATCACTAATTACTCTCGCGTACACAATTAGAAAGTTGATATATGTGGTCACGGCAATGTTGACTAACTACTTATGTATACGACTATCCGTTGAGCAAATTAAAACCCAAATAGTCACTTACATGTCCTAAAATCGATATAACAACCCGTTTAATTTAGACGTCTGGGCGAGCGTCGCATAGCGGAAATTTTGGGAAACAACAGCGTTGATTCGAAAAGATCATTCGATTTAATTTAGAAAAATTTAACATGAAGACATGAATATTTTTTCCTTGAATTTTTAGAGAAAATATCAATAGTATTGAATCTTAGCCGTAGATGCCGATTTTATCAAACAACCATGGCAAAGAGCTAATTGCCCATGACTATACACAAACGTGAGAAGGACAGCTAAAAAGGTGAAAAATATTTCAAGCTAAAATTTTAAATAGTCCTGAAAAAGCGGTAATGCTTATAAGCGATCGAACAAAGGCTCTTACATGTTACTGCAACCATTTTTGTCATTCTGTTCACAGTCATATCACATGGTTCACGTGAACAGTTCCGTATCGCATTGAATTTTTCTCTGCATAAACATACAAAATGCTTAAACACTTATCGTTCATTTTTTGAGTTATTTCAAAATTTTGGAGTCAATGATCAAATGTATTATAATGTATTGAACAATCAAACAGAGGGATGAATTTTGACAATAAATCTTTATTTTTAGAACAAAAATAACAAACAGTTTTCGAGTTTATATCATCGCCAACGGAAAACAAAGTTTAATTGAAATAAGAAAGTTCATTTATGTTTTCGTTTTTTTCCTAGAAGTAAATCACTCACATCATTTACAGGCATTTTTCCGGTCAATTGACGTTTGATAAAATCAACTGCTTTTTCCTTCAGATATTCCGCGCTCAATTTATCAGCAAATCGGAGAACTGACATAGCATTTTCAGTTGTTATGTTGGAACCTAATATGTGTTCGCATTCGTTCTTCAATTCTCGAAGCTGATAATTCTCAGCAGTCATCAAAAGTTCTGCAGTCGTGGCATCATCTTGAATATTGAAACTACCTGTGTAAATGTATCGTATCATCTCAATTGCAGAATGGTAGCTAACGCTCATCATTTCCACCGATCCATCTTCGTTTTTAAATACATCGCAACTACATATTGCTTCAAATGCTGGACTTGCACTAGCCAATATGACCCTATGAGCTGGAATTTTCTTTCCGCATTTTGTTCGTAGCAAAATGTCACTGAATTTTTTATCAAGAAACATTCTCTCGATATTTGATTTTGATCTCAACTTTTCATTCCTATTTACAGATTGATTTTGAAAATTGTTGATATTTTCCGTAGCCGTGGCTGTAATTTTGCATTGGATTTTTACTTTAGCCGAGGATGTAATTAATCTATCGATGTCGACTGGAGGTATGTTCAAGATCGGTTCTTCACTACGATATCTATCAAATGTACAATTATCCGTTCGAGTGTCAAAAATGTCCCTATCCTTGAATATTGATATCTCGTACTTTAAACAACCAAATGATGATTCTTGTTCAGTACAGCATAGAAATAAACGCCAAACTTGGTTGAACTCGAACTGAATTATAGGCACACTTTGAAGAGTATGGCACTCTTGTAGTTTTAAATAAAAATATACTAATTCACCTTTCCCATGTACATCGACATCGAATATGCCAGATACAACTGTTTTATGTTTTAACAACAACAATAAAGCATCCTTCGATAACATCCATGTAAGTATGTTGGTCTCCGTATTAATTTCGGACTTGCCAATTTGTTTGACGACGAAAGACATGTTACACTTCGAAGAAGTTATAGAAAATATTCTATTATCACTGGAGTTATTCAAATTGTTATCGCACTTGTCCAAACTGAAAATATTATATGGCTATGGCAATTCACTGGTTAACTACGACAGACTACCGCTGCACAAGTCAATACTGGTCACTGGATTTGCTACCCTTGCGTTCTGGAACTGATAAGGAAATCCTTTTTTGCCTCTGTTTCATCTGCGCGCGACTATTGTGGCGAGCCTCGGGGAAAACGTATCGTCGTGTAAGTGTCGTTTAGCAAAGAACTCGAAAACTGAATGGTTAATTTGAAGAAGTCATCTTTTTTTAATGTGATGCTTCTTTACGGCTCGCGGGCAGCGAGTTCGTGAAAACTGAAGGACGAGCGAGCGCGATAATCATGAGTTCTTCGTCTGACACTTGACAGTAGCTCCTAGTTGCTTCGCGTGCTATGATTTGTCGCTCGACAGTGTCGAGTGTCTGCACGCTTGCTTTCTTCTTCTGTGGTCCCGAGTTCGTGACACAGGCAAGAAATAGAAGCTCTCGGCGCACATGCTTTTACAAAGGTCTTGATGTGGCGTCGTGCATCTCTCTCCCTCTCCCTCGCTACTTCGCAGTTCGCACAGGCTGTACTTGTTGGTGCGTGTTCGGTCAATAATTATGAAACGCTATCGTAGCTCGCTGATGCCAATATGATCCTGTAGGGTATGATACGTACATGTTGTATACATGTTGTATACGTATACTATACTATAGAGTTTTTTAATTCGTAATAAAGTTATTATCATCGATAAACAAATATAAAAGTTTATAATTGAAAAGTGAAAATTTATTCCAGCTTTCGTTTTTTACTGAGAAGCATATCACTCATATCATCTAAGGTCTGTGACCCTGTCAGTTGACGTTTCACAAAATTAAGTGCTTTTTTCTTCAAAAGGTCCGCACCATGAACATCAGCGATTCTGAGGGTGTCAATAACATTATCAGTTAATAACTTTGAGCCTAATAAGTGTTCGCATTTTATTTTCAATTCTTGAAGTTGATACTTGTTAGCTGCCGCCAAAAGTTCTGTAGTCGTGGAAAATTCTTCAGTCTTGAAACTACCCGTGTAAATGTATCGTAGCATCTCAACTGCAGTATCATAACTAATGTCGACCATATCGACCAATTGGCATTTGTTTTCCATCATATCATGTGTAAACATGGCTTCAAATACTGGACTTTCAGTAGCCAGTAGGATTCTATGGGCTGGAATTTCCTTCTCAGAAGCAGTTCGTATCTTAATATCGCTGAATTTTTCATCGAGAAACATTCTCTCGAAATTAAATCTTTTTCCTAACTTTATATTCACATCGTCTATCTCACACTTCAACTTGCATTGAATTTTTATATTATTCTTCTGTGAAATGAATTCTGGGACATAGTTAGGACAGATATTGAGAATTGCCTCTTCACCATCACGGTCAGAAATACGAAACATATCATCATTTCGGCTACTGAAAATTTCATTATCCTTCATTACTGATATGTCGAAATTCAAACGATAACTTGATGAATCTTTATTTCTGCAGCGTAGAACTAAACGCCAAACATTTTTACACGAACAATGCGAACTAACTTGGCAATTGCTTGGATTAGGGTTTTTTGCGCAGTGGTATAGTTTCAGTTGAAATTCTTTTTCATCGTCATTAGAGAAATTGAATGTGTCTGATACAACCACTTTATGTTTTTTTAACAATGGTAAATCCTGCGTTATTTCCCACGTGAAAATATTGCCCTCTTCATTGAGTTGCAAATCGCCGATTTGTTTGACGAATGACATGATAAAATCTGTGAGAAATTCTAGAGAGGTTCAATTTTCACTGAAGTAGTTAGAGATGTTTATTACACTAGCACAAACTGTTGGGCAGTAGATATTACGTGACCACGAAAATCCGTTGACTCACGACTGTGCACAAGTCAAGACTCGAATATCCACCTGTGTTTTAAGTTCTAACGCGGATGAAAATGACCCTTTGAGCGGCGTAAACGCCGCTATGCGGACATCTCGAAAACTACAAAGAATCGTTTCGAAATCAGTCTTCTAACTTAAACTAAACGTGACATACTTCCTTCTTCAATTATTGCACGAAATATTAATATTCCACAGTACTTTAATTTGAATCGGTTTTGCCAATAGGTCGAGTGTTTAGCTTTAGTATACAAATGCAGAAGCGATTGCTATAAAAATTACCTTTTTAATTACGCAATTCATTTAGTGTGCAAGCAACTGTGTTTTTACAGAAAGATGAAATAAATGGTGTAGAACTGAATTGATGCTTTATTGTTAATGTCTAAATAATCATTCATTTTTTTAGCGAAGTGTATTGAATGATAATCTTTTTTGGGGACAACAATTCTGAGTTTAGATTAATTTTATATGTAAAAAAAGTTCGTTACTTATCGCGATTACTATTTATATCATCCGGTTTACAGTCATATTGCGTGGCCCACGCGCATTGAATTTTGTCTTTGTATAAACACATATAACACTTAAGTTTATTATTTTCACAATTATTGCGAGTTTCAGCCATTTCGAAATATTATGATATTATAATTAATCGAATAATATAACAAAGGGATGCATTTTCATATGGTATCTTTATTTCAAGTATAAAAAATATCAAGGCATTTTCAAGTTAATGTTATTGAATAGCAAATATGAGTAAAATGGAAAAATTGAAGTTTATTCATGCTTTCTTTTCTTTCCAAGAAGCATATCACTCATTTCATTCAAGCGCAAAGTTTCGTTCAATGTACTTTTGACAAAATCAACTGCTTTCTTTTTCAGATGTTCTGCATCATAATCATCAGCTATTTTAAGTGCGTCTACAGCATTTTCAGGTGATAAGTTTAAACCTAATAAGTTTTCGCACTTATTTTTCAAGTTTTGAAGCTGATACTTGTTAGCGGCCGCCATGAGTTCTGCAGTCATAAAAAATTCTTGATTTTTCACGCTACCTGTGTAGATGTATCGAAGCATTGCAACTACAGTATCGTAACTAATGTCGACTATATCAACTAATTGGCGTTTGTTTTCCAACATATCATGAGTAAACATGGCTTCAAACACTGGACTTGCAGTAGCCAATACTATCTTGTGAGCTGCGACTTCCTTTCCGCATTTTGTTCGTAGCAAAATATCACTGAATTTTTTATCGAGAAACATCCTCTCGAAATTGAATTTTGAGCCAAACTCTTTATCCACGTTAACAAGCCCATTCTGAGCCGATATTAACTTGTATTGAATTTTTATATTATCCTGGGATGAAATGGCATTTTCAACTACCATTGAGGGTATCAATAAAATCGATTCTTCGTTACGTTTAACAGGAAACATGAAATCATTTTTTCTTCGAATTTCGAAAATTGTGTCATTCTTGAGTATTGATACTTCGTAGTGCCACTTCCACGTTGATGAGTCCCGTTCTGTGCAGCACAGACACAAACGCCAACTTTTTTTGAACACGACTGGCCTATCTCTATTAGGTCCACGATGACTACACATGCAGGTATTCAGTATTAAATAAAATGCAACTTTATCATAACTACGGATATTAAATTGGCCCGATCTAACCACTTTATGTTGTAACAACAATTTTAAAACATCATGTGATAACGCCCAAGTAAAAAGGTTGTCCTCTTCATTAATGCGCAAATCGCCGATTACAACGAATGACATGATGCACTTTACTGTTTAGGCAAAATGCTGCAAAGATTCGATTATCACTAAATGTCGGAATTCACTGTCACAAATTGTCGGGCAATTGATCACATAACCACAACAGTTGACCGACTGAATACGAAGTATGAGTTACAACTGACCGTTGCAACGAGCAAAAGACTTGAATCACTACAAGGAAGTCCTGTGTTTCCTTAGTTCGATCTGCGCGCGACTATTGCGAGCTTCAAGTGAAACGTATCGTCGTGTAAATGCTGTATAGCAGAGAACTCGAAAACTGAATGATCAATTGAAAAAAGCACCAGTTGTTGCGTGAAACTTTATTATGGCTTTTGTGCAGCGAGTCCGTGTAAACTGAAAAATCAGCGAGCGCGGTAATCGTGAGTTCTTCGACTGACAGTTGCTTCTAGTGGTTTCGTGCGCTTGACAGTGTAGACTGTTAAGTTTAGTAAGTTTTTATTGGCATCATAGTTGGTATACATTGCCATAACGCTGCTGCAGTGTAGACTGTCGAGTGTCTGCACTCTGGCTCCTCCTATGACTCGTATACACTGTACACATGAGGCAAGAAATAGTATATAGTGCTCGGCGTTCATGCCTTTACTAACGTCTATGTGGTGTCGTTCTCTCTCTCTCTTTCTCTCCCTTGCTTGCTTCGTTGTATTTGTTAGTGCATTTCGGTCAAAAAATAACAATTTATGCTGATATTTAAGTAATACATGAACCTAGGGTGTACGGAAGGATGGAATATGTGTTGCATGAGTAAATTGTTTCCCTTTGATTTGTCTCTCTATGAAGATTCATTTTTTAGCATTTAGTACATTAAATGATACTTTTCTTAAGTAAAAGAATTAAGATTAGATGTAATTCCATGTAGAGAAAAAAGAAAACGTTACTTATGACAGTTACATTTTTGTCATTCTTTTTACGGTCATATTGCGTGCTTATAGTTTTTTATTGTACAAAATTATTTCTCTGTATAAACACGTCGGACACGATTTTACACCTATATATTTGTTCAAGTGTTTACGTAATCCAGGATTTTTAATAAAAATGATCAAATAATCCGTAATGTATCGAATAATAAATCACATCTTTATTTGAAGTAAAAAAAATAACACAGCATTTTTAAGTAAATTTCATCGATAAACAAATATAAGTAAAATGGAAAAAGAATGTTTATTCCAGTCTTGGTTTTTTATTTAGAAGCACGTCACTCATTTCATTCAAGGACAATGATCCGTTCAATGCACTTTTGACAAAATCAACTGATTTTCTCTTCAGATGGTCCGCGTTATATTTATCAGCGGATTTAAGAGCATCCATTGCATTTTCAGATGACAAGTTTGAGCCTAATATGTGTTCGCACTTATTTTTCAATTCTCGAAGCTGATACTTGTCAGCTGCCTCCATGAGTTCTGCGGTCATGGAAAATTCTTGAGTTTCTACATTACGTGTGTAGATGTATCGAAGCATTTCAACTAGAGTACTGTAACTCATATCTACTATGTCAATCGATTGACTTTCGTTCTCTGACATGTCCTGACTAAACATGGTTTCGAACACTGGACTTGCAGTAGCCAATACTATCTTGTGAGCTGCGACTTCCTTTCCACATGTGGCGTTCTAAGCGAGGCAGCGAGCTCAAGAGTCGTGTGAGTGCTGCTTAGTGGACAACTCGAAAACTACTTGGTCGCTTGGAAGAAATTGTAGGCCTTTGGGTAGATTACCGTCAAGGCTCGCGGCCTAGAAGTTGAGAAATGACGGGCAAGGTTTTGAGAAAACCAGGAGACGTGATAGTTAGGTTGCAAGAACTAGGTTTATTGTGTAGACGCTGCGAGAAGTCAATTGGTCACTGACCAGTCAATCGCCACAAAATCATTCGTTCAGAAAAATTACATACATTTTTTATAGTCCAAGTTCTTATTTGGATAAAGATATCTAATACTTTCTTCTTTAATTCTTACTCTTCGACTTTGATCGTATCAAACCACGTTAGTTGTGAGCTGAAAGCACTTACGTGCATGTCATGTAAGACCGCGAAATTTGAAAAAAATATTTAAATTTCTTCGCTACTTCAATATGAACTTCGTGTGTATTACTTGTCGCAGCAATTATCATTCGATTATCGAAGAGTCAATTTTTTTTATACATAGGAAAATCTCTCATATAGACGCGCGCGATCTACAAAGCATCAAAGTGAAACTCCCATCCTCATTGTTCGGTTTACGAGGCGTGCTAGCGGAGGAAACTTCGTCTATATGCCGGAAACTTTTCTTTTCTTCATTAGAGTATTATGCACCATGCAGCGTGTGTGTGTGTAAGAAGATGCATTGACCGAGAGAGTTTTCTGCGAGTCCTCTTGAGTACAAAAAAAATAGAAGAATATAATGCACCATTAACAGCCGATTGAATCCGAGTAGTATCGTCGCTTCATTAGCCCGTGCACACAGGGATATCGTGTGCACTCGCGAGTTCGGACCTGCACACAGGGTGTCGTTAAAGTACACATCCAAGTAGTATTTGCGCTGTACGGTATACGCGTAAAATCGACTTTCACTTTTTTTTCTCCTCGCGCTCGTCCATAAACACTGCTGCGCGCACAGTCCAAAGGACGTCGAGTCAATTTTTTCTTTGACACATAAATATACAGGTAGTCGCACACAACGTATGGTAGACGCGTATGACACGCGAAACAGTTGCATAATTCTTGATTGGCCATTTATGCTAGATGAGCGATTTATACATACTTTCTGCAATCGCCTCTCTTTTATCATAATCGGTACATAAGCTGCCTATATATAAGCGACGTCGAAGGAATTTGCAAAGGATAAAGAGAGGTGAAGAAAAAAAAACAGACGGACAGCTGGGTATTTTTTTTTTTTCATCTTTATACCAGTCGATGAAAAACATTGCGTAAATACGGTGTAGCGCGCGCACATAACGCGCCAATGCGTATACATGGATAATTAAGCAGATCGAGATAGATATTATTATTTTAGCCGCGTTCTCGGGTGAAAGCCTATATCCGATGTATATCGATGTGTAGCAGCGTAATGTACAATATAATACACCATCAATCGTTCTTTGTAACTATACGATAAATAATATATATCTTACTCGCGCGACGCAATGTTTTAAAAAAGTCGTGGTCGTTGCGTTGCGCGAATCGATTGTTTTTAAAGTCGCCTCGCAACGCTTAGAAAGCTGCTGCTCGCGAGCTTTTC